TGCGCTCATGTTGGTTAAGGTGTTCTGCAGAGATATGCAGTCCTCAACACCTTTGATGCTGCGATATGCCTTGGTGTCGTCGGCATATAATGCGGCCATCGCACCTCCTACAGTTGCATCAGGCAGGTCGTTTATAAAGATCGTGAAGAGCAGGGGTCCCAACAGACTCCCCTGAGGGACACCGGAAGTGACTGGTGCCCATTGCGAGACAGCACCATCAACAACTACACGTTGGACACGCTCGTTTAGATAGTCTGAAAACCAGGCTAGTAGCTGCCCCGAAACGCCGTAGGCCCTTAACTTAGACAGGAGAATACAATGGTCCACCGTGTCAAACGCTTTAGCGAGATCCAAATAGATCACGTCCGTCTGTACATTTTTATCCAGGTACTGTCCTATGGTGTGTAGAACAGACAGTAATTGTGTGACACACGATCGATTTCGTAGAAACCCGTGCTGTAAGAGGGTGATCAGATGTATGACGTGCTCATAAAGGTGATTAAACACGCAGCGTTCCTGTGTTTTGCTTACAATGGGAATGAGCGAAATAGGTCTATAGTTGTCGGCGGGTTCTTTTGAGTCTTTCTTGTGAATTGGAGTTATGTCCGCCGATTTCCACTCACTTGGAATTTTGCCGCTTTTAAGTGAATTGTTAAAAATAGCGCAGAGACTTGGTGCTATTTGTTCGCTACATTGTTTGAGCAGTCTCGCTGGGATGCCATCAGGACCACTGGCTTTTGAGATGTCTAGCCCATTCAAGTGCTCTCTCACCTCTTCTATTGATATTTCTATTTGCGAGATTTCCATATCAGTTCTCAATGGTATGTTAATTTGAGGTCTGTTTACATCGGAGGCTGCTGGAAGGAAAACAGAACAGAAATATTTATTGAAGAGGTCTGCTTTTTGTGCTGGTTCCTTTGCAGACACACCGTTGTATGATATCACCGGGCTTGTGCCAGATCGACCACCTAAAATCGCTTTGTGTTAGCTCCAAAATTTCTTTGGGTTGTCCTTAAACGACTGCTCAATTTGCGCTAAGTACTGCCGATGTTTAGCGCGAATTACGTACTTAATATTTTGACTCAATATTCGCAATTTTTGTTTGCGTTCAGGGGTCTTGTTCTGACGAAATTTTTTCAAAGCTGCATACTTCTTTCGAATCAGATGCCGGACTTCCCCGTCTATCCAAGGGGGAGAGTTAGTGTCGTGAATTGTTTTTACTGGTATATGATCTATTACGGCAGTCAGAAACAGATCTTTCCAGTTTGACCAGTGTTCATTTATATCATCCGAAGAGGCTAACTCAAAGGGAACTCGAGTAAGTGATTCCCGTAGATCATCAAAATTTCCATTCTTAAAGTCGAAGACTTGTCTCTTCACCCGTTTTGCTCTTTGAAACTTTAGTCGGATATCAAACTCAATAACATAGTGGTCTGTGGGAAATATACCTTCCCGTGGATGAAAGGTTAGAACGTTCTCGATAGTCTCAGGCCAATTACACAGCACAAAGTCAAGCTTGTTACCGGCAATATGCGTGGGGCCAGGGACAGCCTGATAAAGAAAATTGTCACCAACAAGATCACAAAATATTTTGTGGTCTGCGCGACTACTGTTGTTTACTGGAGTTGTTGTTGTTTCATCGTTAGCCCAATTGAGTTCTGGCAGATTGAAATCGCCAAGCAGCAATATGCAAGCTGACTCTGTGTTTTTCCGTAGAGATGAGTTAAGTTCCAGAAGAGGTTTGGGCGATGAATCAGGGTGACAGTTTTTACATTTCCAGTCTTCAGATCCACAACAACCAATTCTGCGCCATCCTTCTTTAAGTCAGGTCGTCTTTTCACTTTCTCTCTACCAATAGGGGACACTTAATATAGTTAATAACTTACTAAATATTTTCTAATGAACTATTAAGAAAAAGCCTAACAATATAATTAAGAATATAGTATAGTTAAAAACCATTTAACTATTGACTAATGGAATAAATTATTAAAAAGAGAAAAGATTAAGAATTACAAAGGATGCAATTGGAACAATTGTTGTCTTCTATCATTACACTCAAATTAAATTTACGGATACGATTTTTAAAACTAAATAAAGATGGGAGGGTTCTAGTTTCTCTTTGTAGCTTATTCCACAACTTTGGTCCCAGGTAGGTGAACAAATGTTTACCATATTTCTTGGTCCTTAATCTGGGGATGGCAAACTCTGCCACCCTTAAGTTGTAGGGTGAACAATGCATGTGAAATAGCTCGTGTATTTTAGAGGGGATAGTTTGTGTTTCACCTTATACATAGGGATAGCAATGTCTTGCAGTCTTCTGTTTTGAAGCATTGTTAGATCACTCCTGTCCAGTAATGCTTGGAAGCTTGATTGTTTATATAGGAAAACTGCGCGTAATGCTCTTTCTTGAATCCGTTCAAGCTTTCTTTAAGACTGTCAATTAATCTCGCTTTCTTGCGTTGACTTCCTTCTTCTACGATGTTGAACAATAATCCCTCAGCCTGGGAATCTGCAATAGATAAATCACCATTAACTTACTAGATTGGAGAGAGATTAAAGAATTATGCAATTTTTTTTGTTCATATGTTTGTGGTTGGATCAGTTGAATCATCTGCTTACCAAATATATAACATATATATTGATGGAACTTGGCATCTATAGAACATCAATAGAAGTTTCTCCAAGGCTAACATTCACTTGATCTAAGTTGGATGACTGGTAAAAAATAGTCAAATGAAAGAATGAAAGTGTTTGTGAGAGAGATTAGACCCATGAATTGTGAACTACTTTGTGGGATCTCATCCTAAAAAAAAAGTCTGGTATGACAGTAAAAACGATTAAGAGTAAAAAATGAAAGTAAAAACGAGCTTCTTACTACTGGCAATGCTTTTCTCCTCTTCAGCAATCATCTCCTCTAACTTCATCTGGTGTGGCGTCTGAAAAAATAATAACGGAAAAGGTGTGGAATTTATTTAAGTCAACTGGAAAATTAGACGTGGCACAAATCAAAGGCTCTAAGGCTCCAAGGCTTCAAGGCTTCAAGGCTAACATTTACTTAAACTAAGTTGGATGACGAATAAAAAAATGGTCGAGTGAGAGTACGAAAGTGTTTGTGAGAGATATAAAACCAGTGAATTGTGAAATACTTTGTGGGATTTCTTCCCAAATACAAAGTCTGGAATGAGAGTAACAATGAGTAAGAGTCATAAATAAATTTTCCTTGTTAAAATGTCAAACAGGCAGGACATACATGTAGAGATGAAAAATATATTTTGAAACCAGAAATAATGCACTATCATGATTAAGCTAAGGAGAGACACAAGGCATTTGACTCTATAATATTACATTCAGGGATTTGGTAATTTGTGCACCTTTAAATAATAGTTTGGGCCTTGTGATAACCTATTGTAAAAAAGAAAAATCCTTCACTAAAGTTAAATGCATTGCATTGGAACCACCTCCTGTGCCTTTACGTTCTACCTTTTTTTTATTACTATTTACCTAGTTTGTGCAAACCTTCTTTCAAAATAAACACAGTTGATCAGATTTCATGTCTGATACGCATTGTGCGATGATAGATATGAACCCAAATGAGGCCTTTTGCTGTGCTTTTGCCACTCTACTTCTACAAATTATCAACATGCAACAGCAGCAAATGTTTGCCTTTTTCATCCTTTATCAGAGATGTTTTTATTCTTAACTAAATATTTATTAGTATATTTGAAAAATCAGTACATTGCTAGACTACATACATTACTTACAGTTTAATTACTAAAATGAATACTAGATAACTTACAATTTTTTTGGCTGCATATATTACTATGAAATACAAATTATTACAATATTCTAATCAATAAAATAAAATAACAGTAGATTACAAAAAAAGATATAGAAAAAAGAATTCTTTTATTAACTATGTGGAGTAACAATAAGAGTAAAATTATCTAATTTTTTTCAGGTTTTTCGGACAAGGAATTTTGTGAAGCACACACAAAAAAGACAATGTAAGATTTAGGCCATTTAAAAAAATCCACTCCCAAAAATTTTCCATTTTTTGTTAAACAAATTAATCTTATCCTGTATCAGAGATGGGTAAATGAATACATGCAAATCCTGAATGTCGCTTTTCTAAGAAGAAGGCGGCATTTATGTAGAATTCGTGTTGTGCCTTACAGGTGGACCATTCCCCGCCTAGCCAAATCATGGTTTGATGCTCATAACAACGACCTGACCCATACATTTACTAGAACCCTTTTTTCTTCCTGCGGCCATTTATCATATTGTTTCTTCTTCTTTTCAGCTTGGCTGGAGTGGGCCAAGCTATTGCTGTCACTAACCACACTTGCCGAACTATTGCTGTCACAAACCACACTTGTTGAACCAGCAGGTCGATTGGACAAAATTCTGCTGGGTCCTGCTTGATCAGTGTCGGTTGAAAATAAGGAAAATTTTGTGTTGGGAGTGATCCTGGCAGCCCCACTTATACTATTCGGTGTCTTTGAAGTTTCTGCAGAATTTCCAAAATTTAAAAAATTTGTGAAACACCAGTCGCGCTAGAAAATGTGTTGTGATGACAGATAATATTCTCTTTTAATGGATAATTGATCAAAACTTCCCTAGTGTGACCCGGGCCTAGGTTTTCCTGTCCTACAGTTGTAATTGTGAGAGGTTCTTGAAAAACCAAGAGAATTTATCTTTGGTGATTAATCCTTTTATTCTCATGATTTGGGATTGTTTGATTATTACATTACTAGGAGAAAGTAAATGTTGCTCATTACATGCACATTGTAATTCCAAGGCCAGACATTTGTTTACATACTAGCAGATGAGCATTTTGCAAACTCGCTTGCTGCAGTTTTAATAAAATGAGTAAAGAAATATATTTTAAGCTTTTGTTTGAGAGGTGCTTAGTAGGCCGCATCAAAAGGTATTCCCTCCACTGAAATCTCCTTCTATGTATAAACAATAAAGTCACACCTTAAAGCTCCACTGGCATCTATCTGACCTTGCACTTGCGTGTGCTCGTCATGATTCCTTTTCTGTTTACATTGTCCATGTACAGCCTCATGAGAAAAATTGGGCTCATGACATGCTTCTACTGGAGTTACTTGATATTTCGTCACTGGACACTTAACGTTGGGTGCAAAACAATAATGGCAACCAAAATCAACGACTCTGTCATCTGGTGAGCCTCCCAGGAGCAGCATGTCTGAACAAACAACAAAACCACTCTTGAGAACTTTTAGTGGGGCCCTAGGCGCAAACATAATTCTTTCATATTGCTCAGTGGCAACCGCTTCATGTATCAAGCCATGTTCGACATACCTTGAGGTGAATGGCTTCGGATTGATGAGGTCAGAAGCAAATTTTTCTTGATTCCTCTGTCTTTTTGAGTCACTGTCAAATTTTGAGGCTGTAAATCTGAATTTGCAATCCCTTTTCCACTGCTCTGATGATGAGTAATCTCTTGTGGCTTCCTCAATATTGTTTATCTTGGTCTCACAACTACAAGGGAACTAAGAAATGCTTTTTCAGAATCATTCAAGATTTGACAAAATCATTGCCTGAATTCAGAGGAAACCTGGGATAAGTAAGTTTAGTATCTGGGCTGACATCTTCCCTTGGCATTGATGAAATGCCCTCAGTAGCTACAAAGATCACCTTAGTATCGGTCAACTGATAGCAGCAAAATGAACCGGCCTGACTTCAAATTTGGTCTCCAACAACTGTTAAGGGAAGAATCATCTCTTTCCATAAAGGCCAAAGCCATCTGTGGATTTATTTTCTTTACACTTTTTTTAAGTTTCATTTCAGCATCAATATCATGCTTGGGGTTAGATCTTGCATCATACAAGACACATTTCACTTCCTCTTGAGTCTTGGTTTCATCACGTTTAGTTTTTGTAATGGTGACTTCCATTACTGGCTGAATAGATATTTTGTCACCACGACCCTTTTTGTGCCACTTCTGAAGATGGGAAGTGTATGGAGATCTAGCTGCTCATCATCTTTTTCGGACAAATCATCAGTGCTTTCATATTAAACAAACTAAACTTGCATGCTTTGAACATTAATGCAAGAATATGATGGCAGTAACCCACTTTGCTTGCTTGGCATGAACAGTTGGCATGAATGACTTGGGCTGAAATGATACACAAAGCAAAACAAAGAGCATGGGAAGCCTCACTTTTCTTAAAGCTGTGATGGCACTTGGCCTTTAAATAAAATTACCTCTGAACACTGTTTGCCTCAATCTCCTTAAATATTCATCATGCAGAAAGGTTTTCACTTTCCTTAAATTGGTCAGAATTAATGGTGTTCAGTATCTGCCTCTCGTTTTCCAGAATTTGCCACATGCCGGTTCAGTTCAGCTCTCGTGAAAGAAGGCATCCTTTCTAACGACTTCTACCGGCCATCGTTCAGATATTTCACACCTACGGCAGGAATGGTGTCATTTGGAAGATTTGAAACCGTTGCCTTTCTTTTTGTATAAATTTCATGCAGATCAGGATCAATCAACATCATATCCCTTCCACTTTTAATATACTCACTGACTCTGTAATATAATTGAGAAAGAATTCTAAATTTTCACAAATCAAGTGATCTCAGGAAGAACAGAACTATGAACTTATGACTACCGCTTTATGAGCTACGCTTTCATCTTGAGTCCCTTTAGGAAATTGCCTCTACATTGCAACCAAAACTTAGGTTCTTCGTTCTTTCAGTGAAGAGGGGTTTCTTCCAGCCAAATTTCAATCCGTATAGGCTATTTTTGTGTGTGACCTGTCATCCGTGGCCTATCAAGCCTAGTTTTTTGTGTATTTGAAATTGTGCCGTTCTGCATGGCAGCAATTTATGGATACAGTATGTTATTAGTAGTTGTTGTAAATTTAAGCTTTTAGAAATCTCCAGACTGCCTAGTCGTGCTGACTTGGATACCATAGAACTTTCTGAGACATTTCATCAAGTCGGGCACTTTTTACACAATACTACTAAAATAGTTCTTATGTAAGCTTCTGGAATGTTCCAGAACACTTTTTGAATATATAAAGACTCACTTATGTAGTAGTAGGAGTACTGGTAGTTGTTTTTGTCAGAGCAACGACTGTTTTGAAAGCTATACCATTTGAGAGAGTTACTATGGTAGATTGCTCATTTCAAGGAACTTTGGAGGCAGCAGTGAGATTGTGTCAGTGGTGAGCTAGGATATAGACCGTGGTGGGCTTAATGAAGTTTACTAACGATAAGTACTGTACTGCTTCGAGGAGTCACTCCTTGTTAAGAACATTACTCGCTGTTTAAGAAAGTAGTTGAGTTTGTAAGATTGTAGTGTTTTTTGTCGGTTAGATTATACTGTAACAGGTGTATGAGAATAATAATCTTTATTTAACCTGATTAAACCAATCAGCTGAACCTGGAGGGAACAGCTGGTATAAACTGGTCATCAGCACTGTATTTATGAAATAAGTATTGCAAATATATCTAAATCCAAAAAAAAAAAAGGAATACACAGGAAAATCATATCCATACGGAAAACTATGTATTTGTAAAATTTTCCGTGACAATGAAGACATTCTAGCTGACTACTACTTACAATACCAGGAGATGGACATCGGGGAATCAAAGTATCCCCCTGCGGGCTAATTGTTAACCCAAAATGCAGTTGGCTCGGGGCTTCCCCTGAAAGGATAGTTTACGATCCTTCGAGTAACCCCCCTTACGGAGGAGTGTAAATTGAATGTATAGAGTCTGGTAAGGAAATGACTCCCTTACAGACATACCAAGCCAAGCGAGAGCCACAAAAGAAATTCTGTTTAATCAAACATGGTGAGATCCTTCAACTTGACCGAAAACATCATTACCATCATCAACTTCAAGGCCAGTGTGGCATTTCAGGCCTGAGGTGGAATGACTTTATCCTAATGACTGACCTGACCCTTGGTGACCAAGGAATATATGTTGAAAGGATCTACTTTGATGAGACATGGTGTGGAACTTCACTACCAAAACTAACTGGTTTCTATTTTAACCACATCATGCCAGCATTACTACAAAAATTTAATTATTGCAAATAATCATAAAATCTAAATGTGAAAGAAATATAAAATTTACTAAAAAATTTAATTTGTTATCAGAATTTTTTTTAATCTAGTGTCAGACCCAACTTCATCCTCAATCCCAGTCATTCTTATTGCATAGTAAAATGTGATGTCACCTATTAAGCTGATTGGAAAGATTCACAGTAATTCCTGCAAAAACTTTACTAACTCATAAAGGGTGTTAATGCCTGGGAATAAGGCTGACACACTTGACAGTTTTTTTTTAATTGTTTGCACTTGGCAATATCTTTCTACATGTACATATGAGACTGTAAATATTGTAGTAGTACTTTCATAGAGCAATTAAATAACTATGGAATTCTGCAAATTGCACTTTTTACTGACATATTAGTGGTTTAGTATGTACCAGACCTGTGGATAGCTCCTCCCAATAAGTAGTTATTAGCCATTTTATTTCTTGAGACTGAAAAGGCAATCAGTCTGAGAAACACTACCCGCTTGTATAGTAGATGCCAATGTGAAAAACACACAAATAACGACAATGTGGTCACATGGTCATGTTACTGATTTCCTTGTCATCTGACACTAATCGTGGCAGAAAGTTTGTCAACATGGCACAAGCAAAGAAAATTTGATCATTAATACCAGATGAGAACAATGTTATAGGAACATAGTCCAAGATATGATAATTTTTGATTCGCTCAATGGCTCGCTCAACATGAATGCAAAACTTGGCAATGCGTCGAGTTTCCACAGGTTCATCTTCCTCAAATTGGCGTTTTCCCTTTAGGAAAGGGAGAATGTTCAACTTTTTCAACACCCATTGGTGCAATATCATCCTGTATTTCAAACCCACGATCTGCCATTATCATGTCACCCTTAGCCCAGTCCTTGCCAAGTAGGCCAGATTTCACTGTCAGATCAGATCCCTGTCTGAAATTGACCCACCTTCTAAAGTGGAGACAAAGTTTATTGCACCATCACCACTGATTCCAATGAGGTACTTAAGGGTGTTGTGATTCTTGTAAATCGAAAATGTAAGCTGCTTAGCCTCGGGATGTTTTGGTTGTTCAATATAAATTTCGGTACCATCAATAATGCAACTTAATGTCGAACAAAAATCCTTCACCTTTTCAGGCGTTTGCCAATGTCTGCTCACGAATGTCAGACAACTCGCCCCCTGGACAATTAGCCCCAGACGATTAGCCCCCAGTCTCTGGACGATTAGCCCCCAGTCTCTGGACGATTAGCCCCCAGTCTTTGGACAATTAGCCCCCAGTCCCTGGACGATTAGCCCCCAGTCTTATGCTGTGTTTACATTTGAGCTTCAACCAAGGTAAACATTTACTAAGATCAAGTTACTTAACCTTGGTTAATTCGTCCAGCGTTTATACTGGCTCAAATGACTCAAGTTGATCTGTCAACACTCGCGCCCGGTGCATTATCAGCGCAGCATAAAAAAATCAAACTGGCGGGAAATTCTAAAAATATACTCGCTTCAAGAAGTAAAGTGATGGCTTTCATGGCCATTGCTTTTTATTTCTTAATTCTTGACCGGCAAACAGAAACATCAAGACTTCATAAGCTGTGGTTGTTACAACATCTCAAGAGGTCGAGGCGAAAATGAATGGTTTTACTTCAAATTGCTTTAAAAAAATACAAGACGTGCTAGACGTGCGTGGGTATGGCCACGAAATCAGTTCTGGTTTGAGAGCCTTTTGCAAGGAGATTTCGTTGAAGATTGGTGGAAAGAAAATTTCAGGATATCAAGGCGTACTTTTGAGTACATTGTACGCGTGGTTGGACCGGATTTGGCGAAGAGAGACACGAGATTGCGCCAATCTATCCCTGCAAACAAGCGAGTGGCAGTAGCGTTATGGCGCCTAGCTACTGGAGACACGTATAGATCGACTGGGCTGCAATTTGGCATTGGGAGGTGTACAGCTATGCTGATAACGCACGACTTTTGTGAAGCACTTGCCAAATGGGCTACAGAATTTATTAAATTTCCAGAGACTGAGCAAGAGGTGCTACAAAGCATTGGCTTGTTCACAAACAAGTCCCCATTCCCACATGTGGTAGGAGCAGTTGACGGTAGTCATATTGCATTAAAAACAGTGCCTGTCAACGAACGGATTGAATACTTTAATCGAAAGCAAGATTATTCTATTGTTATCCAAGGTGTCGCTGATGCGTCTTTTAGATTTCTTGATGTAAGTACGGGCTATCCCGGTAGCATTCGCGACGCCCGTATTCTCCGTCGGAGCAAACTACAGAGAGAAATTGATCAAGGTACCAGGCTAAACAGGCCTTCAAAGATAATTGGGAGTTCCGAAGTTGGTCCTCTTCTGGTAGGGGACTCGGCGTATCCCTTGTCTGTTTGGCTGGTGAAGCCTTTGAAGCAAACACCTACATTAACTGAGAGCCAATTGCGTTTCAATCGTGCCCTCAGCCAAGCCCGAGTAGTAATAGAACAAGCTTTCGGAATTTTGAAAGGTCGTTGGAGGTGTCTCTATAAACCACTGGAGGAAAAAACAAGCAGAGTCCCCACCACTATCATGGCTTGTTGTGTCCTTCACAATATTTGTAGAGATGTTGGAGATCCGAGTGCTATAGACCCCGTTGAGGATGACGATGAAATGGATCAAAGTTCTTGCAATGGAGATGAGCAGTCTGACGCAAGGGGCATTAGAGAAGATATTATGAACTATTTATCATAGTCAAAACATTAAACCAAAGTTACTATTTTTATTGGAATCTTTCGGGTTAAGTTGAAACCACACACGTGATAAATTTACTGAAATCAATGTTTTGAGATTGAAATTGTGTCCCTTTCCATTTGTCACATGTGTAATTGAACAACAATTATATAATTCACTTGGGTTTAAAAGTTACAAAAGCTTTCTGATGTTAAAGTTTTTTACATAATTTTTTTGCTAAAAATCGTCAAAAACAAATAACTTTTGTATTTTAAAAGATGCCTAGAGGTTTAATTTGAAATGTGTAAAATAATTTCATTCCCAAAATTGATCAACTGATATTGTAATTTCCAAAATCAGTTTTAAATAATTGCAGAAACAATTGCAATAATTTTTGCCGTCTTTATATTCATCATTTTGTCATGATACATAAAATCACAGTTCATAACTGAAACGAATAAAATGTTCTAATAAAACAAGTAAAGTACTTTAATCTTTCCCATTGGCAACGTCCTTTAAAATGTTTCCAAGCATCTTCAAAGCATCCATCGAAAACTTTTGTTGTTCTCTTCTGCTTTCCCTCTCGGCTTCTGCCATTCGCTCCATGAACGCCTCATCCCTCTCTTGGGCTCTTTCCAGAAATGACAGCACTGTAGGCTCATCTGCTGCTGCTGCTTTAACCTTCTTTCTGGCTGCTTTCTTTCCGTCTTTTAGACTCTTTGGTGCATTTCTTGGTGCATTCTTTGGAGTACTCTTTGGTGTACTTGTGCACTTTCCTTTTTTGCCTTTGTTCTTTAAAAACAAGGATTTTGCAAAGGCAAGTGGCTGGTCTTCCTCTGAGTCAGAAGTCTATACTTCACCAGATGGGCCTGGTAGATCATCAGGATCATCGGATCCGACAACTTTCCTCTCTAAATTTTGAGCGGAGGCGGCAGCGGCAATCTCTGCATCGAAAATTTCTTTGTCAAGAATGTCCTGATCAATTCCTAAGGTACTCTGTGATTTGATCGGGGGGGGGGGGAACTACTCTCCAACACGTGTTGAGGATTGATGGCTTCTCGCTTGCCGAGAATTTCGTCCATGTCCTGAAAATGCTTAGACACAAGCTCAACTCCGCCTTCTGCTTCCTTGTCAGCCTCCTCATCTCCCCCTTTTCCATAACCAGTGGTACGGAGTTTGTCTTTGGTTGTCTTGTATTTTTTTGTGAGATTGCTCATTTTAGTTTTACATTGTTGCGCCGTCTTGTCGCTTGAAACGTGTCTCGCCGGCATCTCTCGTGTAGTTGAGTTGCAATAGATTCCCATTCTGGCGAATTGTATGCTTTATAGCAAAGCTTCTCTTTGTTATCACCGAGCAACTCGATGAGAATTTTTTCCTCCGTTTCAGTCCATCGACTGTTTTTTTTCTTTGGCGCAGTGCTTGATAACTCTTCACTGGTGGAACTCGCAGGAGAATCCGACCGCAGCGGAGGAGCAGGAGCAAATTGTGGTGCCATCATTTCTATGGGCGAGGACCTCATACCATAATACTGCTGAGGAAATTCAGCCGGTTGGTACGCATGGTAGGAGGGGTTATATGGTAGGTAAAAACGTAGTGGATAAGTTGAATATGCATCATCCTCCCTGGTGAGAAAATACATCGACAATGATTACACAACGAAGGATCAAAGTTTCTCTTGCGAAAGTTGAAAATAATACCAAGCATAAAACTATAATGCCTTCTTTTCTTTTATCTGACGGATTGTTCGCCATAAGAACCATCACTTCTTTCATCCATGATTGTAACAGGTATTGTGAAACGCTTCGTTGCTGGACGACGTGACAATCACATGATCAGCTCACCGCGGGAAGTGAAGTATTACGCGGCCACAAGCGGATATATCTGTCATCTTGACCTCGGTTACCGAGTGTAACCATGCCTTTTCACATGGTAATTAAAACGATTACCTCGGTAAACTTTCTATTGTCTTGGGCGGCATTTACCAAAGTGTCAGCTTTCGTTTACGCTCACGAAAATTTTACCTAGGTTAATAAACTTTGCTACCGCAGTAAAAAGCTCAAGTGTAAACACAGCATTAGTTTATGTAAAGGAGAAGTTACGTTCATCTTTTGGTCATTGACTTTTATGAGTTTGTGGCTCCTAAAGGAGCCCTTTTTTTTTGTGAATGTCTATCTTTATTAACATTTACTCAATTTAAATTACATGGGTTGTACGAGGTGAGCACAGGCTTCCAGAAGCTCCTTTGAATTCCTGAGGCCGTCTTCGTATTGACTCCAGAGGTCGAAGAGTCTTCTCTGCATGGTCCGGTAGCTTGACCGCTGATGACTCTTCAGCTTTTTGTCTGAAACCAGAGGGATCTGCATGCTGACCAGTGTAGCTTCCCGGTGAAGTACCTGGATCAGGATGTACAGGGGCAGCTGTGATCGTCCTTTGGCGCGCCGGTTCAGTCCATTGTGCCAACCCTCTAGGTTGTTATTCGTTCTGACCACTTCTAGGAACACGCTCCAGTTCTGTGGCGGGAAGGTCTGACTGATTATCCAGTTTTGATCTATGTAACTGCAAAATCCTGCAAGGGTCTGACAGTTGCTTGCTGCTGGAGTCGACGGAATCTGCGAGCAAGGCAAGGCAATTCATGTTTTTTTGATTTTTTTCATGTTTTTTTTTTTTTTTTTCGTTTTGTTTTTCCCTTTTTTCCCCTAGCCCTTGAAGCTCGTTCATTGATGATCAAACACAACACCAGGACTCACCAATGCTGCATGTGGCCTTAGACAACCAGCCATCCACAAGCAGAGATGTGGCACCAGTCCTTGTTGCACCGTATTTCCCATCTGGCCTGGCGGTATCGTTGGAAGATAGAATGTGGTTCAACTTCAATCTGTTCCTGTATGACAGCTTGCGTTTTCCCGCAGGGCTTTTTGCTGACGACCAAGCTGGAGAAGTGGTATTTGAAGACCTGCAGACATGTAGATATTATTGTTCACGCTATGTACAGAGTAGAGAGGAATGGTGCAGCAGACAGCGGCAGGAGTCAGACCACTCACAAGAAAGAAGAAATGAACTGTCCAAGGAGGATATGTTTCTAACCACGGGAGAAGCCTTGGATGGGAGTCTGAGATGTGGCAACGAGGCATTCGACCGCAACTTGAATTTGGTACGCCTTGACCTCTTTGGGAACGTCATGATCTTGAATGCCCCCCACTGGAGCGATGTCTCTGCACAGTTTACACATGGTTTCCCTCGTCGTCTCATCATGGACACACATCGAGGAATCTTGCCTGGCAATATCACGGTGGCAGCACGCATTTCAAACCAGGGAATTCGAAGCGTGTCTCCTGGTAACTTGAAAACATTTTTTAACAATTTTTTTTTCTTTAAAAAAAACACAAACAAACAAACAAAAACAGTAGTAGTAGTATTCCATTCTGAGGTCAAAATGATAACTCTGCTAGCACCAAAGAAAATTCAAGCCTGGGACAGTTTTGGAAGACTATTCTTGGATTCCTCGGTAATTCACCTCACTTATTACATCTTGTGTTCTCAATGCAGTTCCTCTGATTACCTTTGGTACAAAGTGATTTGTTCTTGCGAAGGGCTAGTGCTCAGGACATGCAATTGACATCGACTCTCTTGCGTTGTCAGTAGCATTCTATGCACTTTGGGAACAATTGAATTGATAGATGTTAAACTAGTTTCGTTTTGAACATTGTGCGAATTTGTATTTGTTATCTGTGGTTCTAGATTTCAAAAAATTCGTGAAAAGCCCGAGAAATGAAATTATTTAGAGTTATAATAGTGAATAAGACATCGTTATGAGTTTTAGGAGTGAACCCTTTTAACACTTCTAACTATAGCTAGACTAAAGTCGATTTGTTTGACCAATCAAGGATTTAACAGTTTGAATGAACATGAATGAAAAGATTCCTAATTTAAAACGAATGAAAAGATTCCTGAACTATCACGAATGGAGAGATTCCAGAACCAAACGAGCACGACTATTCAATTTCAAGTGTGATAACCAAAGCAAAACATTTTTAATGTAAAAGATTACGGGCGGTATTGGGTGTGTGGAAAACGCGGAGTGTGGAAAACGAGGAGTGTGGAAAACGAGGGGTGTGGAAAACGAGGAGTGTGGATAACGTGGTGTGTGAGCTTGAAAAGTTGACGCTTATGGACGATGAAAACGTCCTCCATGGAAAAGGAAGCCTGGTGGATTATACACAGCTGGATACAATTGACTCAGCTGTGCTTGATGAGTGGCGATACTTGGCAGGCATGATGCGGAAAAAACTCGTGTAATTGTGCAACATCCCGGTAGTTTAACATTCATTTGCCCCAATACTTGGCGCGGATGGCAAGGGGTTTTGTGGGACCGCCATACTGGTTGTTTGTTTGCCGCGTCTGCTTCTTGGCTGTGGTTCTCCCTTCCTGCCTCTTCCAGCTAGCATTCCAAAGGTGATGGCTTTGCTGTAGTTAAGCCCACCAGTCTTACGCTTGTTAGCCACCAGCCACTTAAAAAATGCCTCAAGGGTTCCTCTTTTTAGTGACGCAACGACAGCATGAGCACACAAATAGGACTCGGAGAACCCTTGGCAGTCCTGACACTTTACTTTCCCGTTAGGGTACACGACGATGATATGCGGCTTCGTGGGCTTTGATTTTGATTTTGAATGATGAGGGCGTCATATGCTAAGGCTGCTGGTAACTCTGTTACTTTTCCTTCCTTTAACAATACTTCTCCTTTGTGCACAATGAGCTTTGAAATGTCTGGGGTAATCCGGTCTACCCCAGTAGAAAGAATCTGCTGGAAAACAGCAGACTCTCCTTCCACTAACTTTTTGTTCATAGAGGCTACGCTGTCAGGAGAAGGTTCTTCAAGAACAATGTGGTGAACGCGCGAGAGGGCTTCTTTTCTCTGGTCTTTGTCATATTGACCCATTTGTCGCCTGTGACAACTAGGTGGCGGAACTCTGGACGAAGTTGTTACTTTCCTTTGTCCAATACAGCCAACTCCAGTTCTTGCTCCTGGCTCTTCAGTAATTTCTCGAGGGTCTTTACTAGGGTGTATTCGTCAATTCTGGCAGTTCCGCATTCACGCAGTCCTGAAGGACACTGTTTGTGCGTTCAGATCGATTGGTTGTGAATTTCTCTGGTGGGAAACCGAGGCCAGCTCTCTGACGGACGGGACTAATAACACTGCGTATGAATTCTTCGTGTTTTTCGAGCCAAACCAAGAGTGGAAGGCTTTTCCATTTGAGTGGAGCGATGAACACTTTTCCTCCAGACTTTCAAACAGGCTAATAAATTTTCTGCACTTCCTGCATCTGACAGTCTATTCTCAAAAACGCTGCCTATCTTTCTTCCAAAAATATCATCTATTACACTCTGCTTACTCTCTCCTTTAATGTCCATAGACAGAAGCTTTGTGTCAATATTTTTGCAAAGGTGGACTTCGTAAAGCAGACAAGTAGCTCTTTCGTAGGTTTCGTTAAAACCTCCCACTAACGCCTTTTCGTCATCTGTCCCGAAAGCCATTAGATTCTTCAATTCTGGTTCGAAGGACTTGAGGGTTCCACCAAAGAGCGAATACGTGGATTGTGTCTTCTTTTCGTGTAGAAGCACTGGGCCAATCATTGTTGGGTGTTTACCATCTTTCCTGCGAAGAACTATGAGATGCTGGTATGAGATCGGTGTGACATTGTATGGACGAAAATCAAACGTTGCGTCCACGGTTAAAGGCCGATACTCCACCGGATTACAGCAGAATCGCTTCAGATCATCCAGCTGTCTGTTCGTTCCCACGACGCAAAAAGGCTCAGCTCCAACTCTGACGTCACGAACAAATGTAGTCTTTGGGTCCCCTTCTTGGATCTTGCTCTCATTTAGTAAAATATACCACGTCTCAGAGGTTCTTCCTGCGCCTGACATGTTTTTTCCTTAGCTGACAGCTTTACACCTTGCCATATCATTTACTTGCTGTCGCTTTCGCGGAACCCGACCCAATCCCACGCAGGATTGCAGACCACCAAGTCCATCTGTTATTGCGTAATGGACGGCCTCTCTAGCTTTCATTTTCCCTGCGACAATTTTCAGCTGATCTCTTGTGCTTTCTCGGGTACAAACATATGGCGTCTTTTTTTTTTGGAATTTCCATGGGGCGTTTTCGGAATGGGATGTTCCTGGCCACTCTTGAAGGAGTACTATACAAGACAGTATCTGTGCAGTTGTCCTCCAGGGACTGCAACGAAAATTAAATAGTGAGACTACAGACATTTTCAATGCACACTGGTTTACAGTACTCTGCTTTTTGAAATGTATCATTTTTTATGTAGACATTTGACTCCTGACAATATGAAAGTCTCCCTTAAACTTAAGAGCATACAAGTCACTAAATCACTTTCCATGAACGGCAGAGACAGCCCCTAGGGTTATTTATATAAAAATGTTTTCATACATTATTTTTTAGAGTCTTATATCTTTTTATATCTCAAATAAATGCTATAGAGGCTTAAGTAAAACTCCACCTTGAAAACCCGGCGTTTAATGGAAAAATACGAAATATATGATTTTAAATAGAGATCGTTTTAAAACGACATGTTGTGTAAGTTATAGTACAGATTAATATTATTATTATATCAGAGACTAATATTACAGATTAACGACTACCGTCCGAAAGATTTACATATTTCACTCACGGAAAAGGATATCAATCCTCTTTTTAAATTCGTAGTATTCCCTCTTTAATGTCGCCACATCTGGGTCGCTTGACTTCACAGCAGTCATTTGAGCAGAATTGTCGTCCATCCATTCTACGCTAAAATAGAATTTGTCGTTGCTGTTATTTCTCCAGTTTCCCGCGTCGTCGCACTTGATGTCTTGTGTTGATGGAAGAGCTTCAAGATCTACTAGGAAGGTAGCATGGTGATAAACCTCGAGAGGCTTGATAGAGCAAACTTTGCAGGTTGAAGGAAGATCTTTTTGCAGCAGGGTGGTCACTACCGTTTTCGGCTTCATAACTTCAGGCTTGTTCGAAAACAAAGGTTAGCTTTATTTCCGCTGTAAAATTAGGTGGACTCTTCGTCTGCGTTTGTTTCTTTTCCATCTCCTCTTTTGCCTGTACTATCTTTGACCCTGCAAAAAGAAAAGCCCGTACGCTTTTTTTAAACCCCTTCCTACCTATAGCGTAAAAGTGAACTACCCCGTTAACTGACGCAAATAGACGTATATTTGTTGTAGAATCGCGACTGGCGGAAAGGTTTTTCTCTAGTTCGAGAATAATAGGTCTCTCATGCATTTGCATGATAAACTGATTATTAAATTAAAATCTAAAATGAAAAATATAGGTTTTTCTTAAAAGCCACTCCATAGATGAACTTAAATTGTAACCGGGTTATGTTGACCTAATGCTTTGTTGAGTGCCCCTTTTCTGTTTTACAATGGCATGTACGCACGCACGAGAGGTACTTTTATATACTTTTTTACACGAGATGAAGACAGAGAAATATCTGACGTGTAATACGTACTGAAGTGAGAAAGGATCTTACAGTAAACTGTCATCACTAGAGGCACCCTCATGGGCAGATGAATCTAATACTTTGCTTCTGTGGATACTGCTAACAAGAAAAGCATAGCTATAAAGATCGTCCTTCGTTCCCCATAGGTTCTTTTCAAGAGCTAAAATGGGGCAAAGCATAAACAAAAATAATGTGAATCCCTTCTTCGGGCATAATGACCAGGCAATCTTACTCTGCGGAGGGCCGTCGGCCTTGGGTGACGTCGTCAAGTCAATAACCTTGCGATAAATACAAAATACAATTTGCTACTTCGGTATAAATGTCATACCTTGCAAAGTCATGCATATAAAGCTTGTAATTTTGTTGTTACAAAATGGTACAAATCTACCTTCGCTTGTTTCTTGACGTTTGAATGATCGTCACATGTATTACGTTTGGTACCTTTCTTGCCTGCAAGAACAAAGGAAACCACATCTAAATATCTGCATGATAAAATAACTCAACAAAATCACTCCACGCTTCTTCACTTCAAAAAACAAGGAAACACAAAAACAACAGGCTAAACTTTCTGCGAGTTAAAAAGGAATTATATGCCGGATTATGTATTTTCCAACCACACACTCCCTATTCTATGTTACTCGCAAGATTTAAAATTTGACGCAGAACGCAAACGCCTCGGGGGGGACTCCCACGTAAAAATGATGGGAGTGCTCGTCGGAAATTTTCGGAAAACACCTTAAAAGGTACCAGAATGACGCCAGATGGGCGTGGTTTCCAAACATTTATACCCCTAAGAGGTACCAATTTAAAACAACACAAGAACCGACACTTTGACCATTTTTTTCTCCATCGAATACCTTCTCCATCGAATACCTTCTCCTCTTCAAGATTTTTGTAATCATTGTCATAATAATTTATAGACTATAATAATTTATAGACTTATATTGCGCGATTATCAATATAAGAATTTTGAATTGCGCATTACAATTATTTGTTAAAAATTTAACCCCTACATAGATACTAAAAACTAAAACTAAAAAAATTAATTAATAAAATAAAAAATAAAAGAATAAATAAAATAAAAAAATAAAAAATAAAATAGATAAATAAAAATGATCACTAAGAAAATGTAAAAATATGAATCTAGTTACAAAGAATTAAAAAGCTTTGCAAATAAAAAAGTCTTAATGGCCTTCTTAAACTTGTTTAAAGATTGAGTGTTTCTGATAGAGCCCGGAAGATCGCTCCATAATTTAGGGGTGGCGGCGTGGAAAGATCGATCGCCGAGCGTGGTGAGTGTTTTACTCCTGCGAGGAGCAAGGAGTAAGCCGTCATTGGAACGGAAATCATTTCTTCCGGTGTCTCTAACAGAAATCAGCTCACTTATGTACACTGGGGCAAGACCATGTATTGCTTTAAAAGTAATGTATTGCTTTAAAAGTAATGTATTGCTTTAAAAGTAATTGAGATAATTTTAAAAACTATGCGATATTTTACAGACAGCCAGTGTAATGATTTGAGCAGAGGTGTGGTATGACAAAATCTGCTGTCCTGGAATATAAGGCGTGCAGCTGCCTTCTGGACTCTCTTTAATTTGTGAAGATGGCACTCAGGAACTCCAAATAGGAGGCTGTTGCAATAGTCCAAGCGGCTAGATATAAAGGCATGAATAAGTGTCTCCGTGCATTCTTTTTTTAAATATTTTCTAATTCTTCTAATGTTACAAAGATAGTAAAACGCTGCAGAGCAAGTCTTGGTGATATGATCAACCATAGATAGGTTTGAGTCAAACCAGACTCCAAGGTTTTTGATAGGAAAGTGCGGAGCTATATTTACTTTGCCAACTTTAATGTGTCCAATATCAACTTTGACGAGCTGCTGCTTCGTGCCAACTGAAAGAAACTCAGTTTTTTTCCTCGTTCAACAATAGTTTATTCTCACGCATCCAACGCCTGATCGCCTTAATACAACAGTCAATAGCAGTGATGGCATCCAAGTGACCTGTCTCGTCTGCGGGGCGGAAAGAGACGTAAAGTTGGGTATCGTCTGCATAGCAGTGAACAGATGGAAGATTTTTTTCGACGACGTCTAGTAACGAGCTCGTATAGATGGTAAACCTTGGGGTACTCCGCAGTTCAAATAAAACTTCTTCGACAGACACCCACGAAGTAATATCCTCTGACTGCGCCCTGATAAATACGATCGGAACCACTTGGACACCCTGCCCCCAAGTCCCAGCGCATTGAGTGCTTCCAGCAAGATATTATGCTCGACTGTATCGAAAGCAGCAATTAGATCGAGTAGCACTAGAAGGGTTACATGTTGTTTACTCATATTGAGCAGGATGTCATTCTTCACTTTCAGAAGAGCAGTTTCAGTGCTATGATGCACCCTGTAAGCTGATTGAGCGTTCGGGTATAGATTCGTGTTGAATATGTGTTCGTGTATCTGATGGAAGACTGCTCTCTCGATGAGCTTCGATAAGAAAGCTAAATTGCTTACCGGTCTGAAATTCTTGAATGTGATATCAAGACCAGGCTTTTTGAGTAACGGATATACTAGTGCCTCCTTCCAGGACTTAGGAAAGTGTCCGGCTTCTAAAGATTTTTTAATGATCGTAGTAATGATGGGAAGAAGAGCATCACATCTGCTGACCAAGCAAGAGGGCATTGGGTCAAATGGGCAAGACTTTAATGTTGAGTTATGGATAAGCGACTTAACACTGTTGGCAGACAGGATCTTGAATGCAGATAACGATGGAGTGGACTGAGTAAAGCCATTAGCAGGGGTGGATGCGGAAGCGGGTAAATCTGTAATATCAGCATCGATTTGTCTCTGGATTGTATCAATCTTTGACACAAAATACTTTCCAACGTCGTTTGCAAATGTGGGGGCGTTTAGATTCGGAGGTAACTGCGACTGATTAAACAGGCGTTTACTAACACGAAAGAACTTTCACTGATTACAGCTGTTATCCTCGATAAGTTTAGTGTAAAACGCCTGTCGTGCCTTGTTCATAAGATTGTTGACAGCATTGCGCTTAACTTTGAAGACAGCCAAGTCGGAATCAAGTTTCGACAATCTCCATCTTCTTTCAGCTTTCCGTCGCTCTCTCTTGGCTTGTCTGATTTCGTCTTTGTACCATGGAACTTGCGGACGCATAATAATCGTTAGAGTCTTAACAGGGGCATGTTTGTCCAGCACAGCTAGTAGGGTTTTGTTGTAGGACAAAAGAAGTTCCTCGAGGTCGTCCAGTGGATTTTTACACACCTCAGAATTAGCTAGCTCATCATTCAGGGAATCCACGTTCACTAATTTTATTTTCCTATACGAGAGAGTCCTGGTGGAGAAAGAAGGCTTTATTGAATGAAGATGACACAACACTGGTGCATGATCAGAGAAAAAGCAGTCGACTCGAGGTGTGGACCTTACGATCTGGTCGGACTGGCGGGATGATTAGGTCCAGGGTGTGACCATAAATATATACACCATTGAAAATGAAAGGTGTCATCAACATAACAGCAATATAGATTTCAAAAGTAAAATTTATCACGCTTACCCTAAAAACAAGTGCCACAATGCTAGGGCTTTCTAAACCATATTTTACTTTCACTGCAATTAAAAGTGCAATGACACTTGTGCTAAGAAGGAAAGCGATCGCCAAAATCATGGTGATCAAAATGGTAATCATAATAGTCAAAGTATCAGTGATAATGAAATAATATTAAAAATAACTAATAATATTAACTATTTTACTAAAACTAACAAAAATAACGTTTATATTGATAGGTAAAATTAATGGCTGGGTATATTGACTTTAGTGAACTGCTAAATGATCAGGTTTACCTGCCGTTCTGGGATTCATGGCCTCTGCGTTCAGCAATCCAGAAATAAATATCTGGGCTCTTTGCCACAACATTGGGCATGCTTGAAAAAGTAAATGCAGCGTAGTACTGTACGTAATACAGTATATATCAAATACGCTCGAGTAAAACAAATAGGCTGAGAAAAATCAATAAGAAATCAAAAGCAAAGACATGAGAGTTGGCTGACCGAACCAATCTCCTCTTGCCACCAAGAGGACAGCTAAGGGGCAGAAGCACAGCCACTATTACCCGACCATCCTCTGTTCGTTGCCATGTGAACTAAAAGAGAGAAACAGGTCAGTATGATAGTTGCATGAACATGACTGAACTGAAATCGTTTTCAGCTCTGTACCTTGGTGGTCAAATGGAGGAACTTATTCTGGTTGACAGATTTGTTTGTAGCTCCTGAGGATTTGATCCCGCAGACTTTATTTTCCCCATCAATCAAAGGGTAGGGTATGAAATGTGGTGAGGTAAAGAAAAGTGAGATTCATGATTGCAGTCACATCTCATCTTATGTGGGTTGTTTCTACATACTGACAAACTAGCTAATTACCTCTTCAAAAGTCTGGATTAGAAACGGAATGGCTGTGCCTTTCCCTCTGTCCTCTAGAACATTAATGCACCTCAGTTGTCCTGCTACGAACAGCTTCATGCATTTCTGAGAAATGGTAAGTCATGTGCAAAGTGATTAATTAATACATATGAAGGTAGTCACTAAGGTTAAGCACTACTAAGGGTGCTCAGTTTGTTGTGCAATAAACCATTTAAGACTTATTGTGAACATACCTGTTATTACTCCTGATGTCGAGAAATCATCAGTGACATAGCCATCTGGAAAGACAAAATACTAATTAATACATATTTATTAGTTAACTAAAAACAATAGTTAGCATTTCAATTTATATAGTCATTTAACTAAATAATCTTGGCTATTTGATTGGTTGGTTATGATCTTCCAAAGTACAGACACCCGAAGAATCATGCCCTTAGTTAAAAGACTTTCTTTTCATCTTTCTCTGAACAGTAGCATTGCAAAGAGAAGATAAAATTGTGCAAGCATTTAAGCAAATTGGTTTTAATAAGGTTAAGATCAAGGTGAGCTTACAAAGGCTAGCCTCTTCCAAGTAGACTATCACTTATGCAAAAAAAAAAAAAGAAAAAGAAATAATAGGAATTATCGTTTGACTACATAAATGTATCATAAACATGAAGTTATGAAGCCCATTGCTGTTACATTTTTAGTAATTATATTTTATTTTCATTGTGCAATTGTAGATATGATTTGTTTCTTGTTTTCGTTAATGTCTTTTAACTTAACATTTATTGTAAGAAAAAGTGACCAAAAATTTGGAAATAAAAATATTGCAATTTTAAGTCACCTTTTTATCACCTGCCAGATAAATATCTACTCCAACTTTCTTGCCATCAATTTCAATGAAACCATCATCAATGATCTTATTTGCTTCTAAAAATACATATCTAAATGACTCTTCCAAAGTCTGGCGGCTCTCGCGGCCATTTCTTACAGGGACGGTGTGATTTCCTGTAAAAAGAAGGTTATGAATCATAGACGTGTTTATTAAACTGACACCTATTCAGAACAATAATATAACCAGTTGCATATGTTTGTGCACCTAACTAACCTTTTGATGACAAAATATCATCCACCTTCTGAAGGATGGTGAAACCCAGAAGTATGAAATTAGTTGTCCTGCTCAAATGTGCCCTATCACCACTTAATTTAACTTTTGCTGTTTCTCTATCCTTTAATGTTCCTTTGCTTATCTGTAATTAAAATTGAGCATCCTTTAATTCTTAGAACTATTTTTGTTTGCTGTCTAATTAATTAAAAGCTGGTAATGCAGTTTTGATGTTAATACATATTTCACATTACATAACATTATTTGAACCTACAAGTGTATCATCAAGGATGTCATGATTTGCATCTTACATTTTTTTTTTGAATAAAAGATGTTTTTCTGTTAATTTCTTTGCACATTACTGAATGAAGATTATAATCTCCAGCCATTAATTACCTTACTTTTGTGATCATTTTTGTTGTTACACTTTATTTGTTTTTCTGCTGTTAGAGATAAATGTAGGGTCCCTTACTAGACTCATGCTCAATTCTACAGTTTAGGGAACCAATGATATTTGTTGTTATCAATTAGGGTAGGAAATGACCATGAGTTTTCTCAACCTTTTCTTGCGTTTGGTTTAGGGTAAAGTAAATGTTGCAACCGTAACATTTCCTAGTAATGAGTTAATGTGTGTGAATAGCTGGATGGCATCAACATTAGTTTAGAGAGATTAACATTAGTTGAGAGAGATTACAGTGTGACTTTATAATATTTTGTTGGGAATAACAGAAGAAAGGTTTAAATATTAATGCCAGGAAAATAAGAATTCTTCTTTGACGTTTGTCGTTCCAGTAACGTAACCGTGTATCTTCTACTTTGAAGCCCATCGACAATGGTGAAGCCTGCAACTCTGACTTGTGGGCATTCGGGCTGTCGTCACAGCCACCTGACACACATAGGCATTGAGAATGTCCTCCGGAAACTGTATTCGTAGAACTTTGTTTAGAAGTTTGCTCAGAAGTTACCAAACCGGGGGAGTGTGTCGTGAAATTTTTCTTTCTTGTTCTTGAATGATGCTGTGATACTCGCTTAATAATGCAGTATCCACTTTTAATTTGCGGTGTAGGAACTTAAGACGTGTTTCGCACATTTGCCGATTGTCTAAGGATGGTTGACAGTCATCTTTCTAAGGAAGCTCAACCTCATAAAAGTTACCATTGAACGAAATGTCTGAAAATTGATCTGCGAGTTTGAAGGCTTTTTGGCATTTGGGTGTGTCTTCGATTCCAATGCTTTCTGTCTCCCAAAATCGTGGCATGATTTCTGTAACTTCATCTGTTTCTCTCATAGGCAATTCTCCAAAAACAATCAGGACTTTGCCTATTGTTATGGTTGGGATTTTTTAATACAATGGGCCTTTTGTTATCCATCCTTAGGGACTTTTCTATTTAGTATCACGAGCTTTTACTCGGCTTGATTCGGATTCATTCGGCAAATTGTCGGCGATGACATTTTTCCCCAGCGGTAGTCTACTTGTGAAAATTTGAACAGACTAACAGGGGGTTAGTCAGTAATTGTCCAGGGTAACGATTGTCATACAGTGTTTGAAACGAGCGGACCGTTAATGTATTTTCTCTTGAAGTAACTTCCTCTGACTTCTTCAGAAGCAAGATAAGCCGTTAGTATAAAATAAATTCAGCCGCTTGTGACATAATAGTTTGTTTTCAGTTCATGTTTTCACGGCAAGGGGCCGCGAGTAGCTTGGAGTGATTGAAAATGCGGTCTAGAGCTTATAAGCCAGGACAGGACGCAGTTAAGCTGTGTTCGCTCAATATTTGTTTTCCTTAAGGCCCGTTTACGCAGGCAGGCCTTAAGGGACTGATCGCAGAAGTCTAAGTTGTATTCTGCTGAAAATTTCTTCTCGCGTTGTCAATGTTCAACCACTGGCACGATGAGTATAAAAGAGTATGCAAGCCAAGAAAACAAAAAGGTGTTATTTTCGCACCTTTTTACGTTTGACTGATTTCAATTTTTCCGCTTAAAGTGCGCAAGTTTTTTGGTCTATTGAAGCAAATAAACCTCGCTGTTGAAGGCAAAACAATAGGTGCGATTTTCGCACCTTTTTCCGTTTCAGTGACTTTATTCTCCGGTTGGCCACAAGTTCTTAAACAAAAAATGTTCATCACTGCATTGGGTGAGTGAAAAAAAAAATGGTGACTTGTTTGGACTTGCTTGTTTAAACCGTCGTTTTTTGTTCCTTTTTTTTTTTTCGAAACGACTCCCTACCTTGCGCGCGCTCACGTTTCTCGTAGATTTGCTTTTTTTTTTATTGTGAGATTTTGACCAGCAAAAAACATTGTTTTCTCAAATATCCCTGAGTAGGTTTAGTAAAGATGAACAATTTTTACAGTACTTGTTGGCCCATGTTAACGCAAATGTAACCCTTTTAGTTTTGATTTAAAATGGCAAGTTCAGCATGAAAAATTATGAAGAAAGGAGCTTCGGTGTTTTTCTGCCCTTTTATGCTGCGGAATACCAGTTAAAAAAGAAAGTCACAGTTATTTGAAGACTTCACACACTGCCCAAAAAGGATGCTCGGAGCTTTCCATCTAATATGTACATGTAATACATCATTTTTCATTTTATTATAGTTTTATGAAAAACGAAACAGTGTAGACATTAAGATCTATGCACTTACCATTGTACAATGCCAGGGTATACTGGTATTCATACGTTGCTTTGTTCTCACACAAGATGTTAAAAACTGCCATCACGGTGCCGATTCTTTTGCTGGTTCGCCTCCCATCCGCCGCAAATCGGAGCTTAATTTTAGAACCATCTTTCTTGATGGCCTCTTTGACTTCGGGTATAGTGATTAAATATTCCAGAACATCGCAAACACTTCTACGGGCACCATCACCTTGCTTGGCCTGCATTAATTCAAAACCCCCAAAAAAAGTAATTAATAAGTATTTGACACAATCAGAAAAAAATTGTTACAACATCATAAGAGACTAATCTCATACCCACCAAAGATTAAACATAGGCTTAGTTAAATATGGTTTAAAATTGTTTTCTTTGGCAAATGTGCTGACTGAATGTTTTTCACTTTCAGCAAAGCTTTTTGCCCTCACTGAAAGTCAATGCTTGTTGCCATATAGCACCTTTGACACACACAAATGATCAAAATAAAAAGTCTTGGATTGTTGTTGATAAATCAGCGTGAATGCCAGGAACACAAACCCTTATGCATAAGAAATTATATGGCTTCCGCTTGTCATCCTGTTAAACTTACTGTGGGGAGCCACCTCCATCGTACTTTAAAAAGCTATATCTGCCTCGAGTGTAATATAAGTTTACCAACAAAATAATTTACCTCTGGAATTGGAATTACTTCGATTTCCTTATTTTGTGTCCTCCTTTCCTGCAATATTGTTGACAGTGGCGGGACGTGACTTCGGAAACTTTCGGGGAGCGCCATCCTCAGTTCATGGTAGGCTTTATCGCTCACAAGCCCCTCATCCTTCGTCGCCAAAATCCTTTGGACAACCTCGTGAGAGTAACCCTCGTCTTCGTGGTCATGTTTGCCGTCGGAAAGTGGGATCACCAGTTCCCGGTCGCTTACGTCAAATTTAATCTGTGCGAAAAAAGAACAGAACATCTAAATGGGTAAAATTTCCGCACAGCCCCATCCTACATTATGCATTCAGTTCTTGAACAGAGAAAACAATGACAAAAACGATACATTTCCACTGGGAAACAGATTTGTTTTACAATAGTATGAGGCTGTGCAGAAACTTTACCCTTAAGAGTCGTAAGCGAGTTGTAGGTTTGATTTACACGAAACAATTCGTGTCGTAAGCCTGTCGTAGGCTTGTCGCATGCGACGAAGTCGTACCGTGTAAATAGGCCCTTATAATCAACACAAAAATCACAAGCAGTATCTTAGGTCCTCAAGAAGAAATAAGTGGTGGCGAGCAGGAATCCAAGGGTTTTTTCCGAAGTTTTTAACCATCCAGTTAGAAATATACAGCGCCGTTTTGTTGTCAGTACGTGTACCGAGATGCCGCCATGTTTTCAGCGGTTTCTTCTAAAAGTCATACCGTGGGCACACTACATACGTCACGTCCAAAAATTTTTTTGCGATGAGCAAAAAAAATAAATGAGCAATTCAAGGCTTGGATTACGGCTAAAATAAATTTTGCCTTAAAATAACCTGAAGTCGGTATCTATTTGCAATAAGCCCTGGTAAGTCCCTAAAGGTACTTAACACCTGCCTACACTATGCATGTTCAATGAAGAGTTTATATTTCAGAAAAATAAAAAGTAAAATTTTCGACTGGCTGAAAAACTTCTGCCCATCTTTCTGCCAATTCCGTCGCCTGGTCACTGACGATTTCGTGCAAATGGCGAATGCGTTGGTCGTACGCCTAAAGAAGGGGCAAAGAGAGGACAGACTGCTCTACCTCGAAATGCCTTGGGCCACGTTTGTAGAGGACGTTTGCTTGCGGCTTGTCTACTTTGAACTTCGAAAACATTTTAAGACTTTAAACAACTTTAAACCGATCTTTTCCGATGACTATTTTCAGATAACTCTTTTCCAATGACGAGAGCGAAATGATTGTTGTCAATTGCAAGTGGTACGCGCGTCAGTTTTAAAACCCGTCATTAGCATAATAAGAGCATTCATGAAAACAAGAGAACAATTGATGTCAACTGAGCGCGAATTTCAAAGACGCTTTCAAAGATGTTTCGGGACGGAAACAAAGTTTGTTTAATTGTATACATAGGCAATTCGCACAGTGATTCCCACAAAAATCTGAATAAAAGTATATATTAGAACCTCTCAAGGCTGCCCAGCCGCTTCTTTAAGCAAGCGCGCTTCTTCACGGAAAGAAAAAAAGTCATCAATTAATGGTTTGTTGACGATCAAATTCGCGACAAAGCCCATACGACAATACACAATACGATGAAAGCGTTTAAAAAGCTTTGAATACTTTCAAGGTCTTGATGCACTGAAAGGGGTTTTATTATGACAATAAACCGCTCTAACAGTAGATATTTCAAATATAATTGGTTATGACGCTTTTTAATTCTTCGCTTGAGACAGACAGCTTTCTCGCAACTTGTTTGGCGCGCATTACAACAGGCCAGCAAAAATACTTAAAAACACTTGTACCTTCGCTTCAGTTTCGATTTCTTTTACGATAGTTGTGTGGCATATTCCATTTGAAACGACGTAATTGTCAGTTGTTGCTCCTTTAACGGGACCTGAGAGTAACCATCCTAACTTACTACTGATTGCTGTTGGCCCATCTCCAGACACGATATCTCCAATCACAATGTCCCAGTAAAAGTCAGAGCCCACTAGAACATAAATTGTATCTTGCGATCCGTCGAAATAATCAGCTAATTCCAGGCCTTCCAAATGAACGAAGTTAGTTTGTACTCTTTAGGGCAGCGGGGAACAGATTACGGGAAACGTTAATGCCGAAATATCGATTGTTTCATCGTTAGCTGAGCCAGGTCGTTTGAGTCGCAAATGAACAAAGTTGCAATTTTGAGATTTGCAACGAGCTTCCAAAGGTGTTGAGATTTAGCCTTTCGTGTTGAACTGATTTCAGCTTCGGTTGTAGATTTTCAGAGACATAAGTTCTTTGACTTCCTGTATCAAACAGAATCCTGACTGGAGTCGAAATTTTGCCTGTTTCATCGAGTGCCACAGCTCGTGCTGTTTGTAAAAGCACAGTTTTGGGTTGTTGTATATTCACGTTGATCGTAGTCGATGTCGCACTCGTTGTCGTACAGCTTGTTTCGCTGCCCGCAGATTCATTGGTCATTGATACGTTTACCTTTGTGTGAACTTGATCACATGGATTGATGATGGCGTTTCTTGCAGTGCCTGCAATTTTTCTCGCTCATACACTGACTGTCGTTGTGGCCCTTTCGTAGACAGTAGAAGCATCAGTTGCTGTTCGCAAGAACCTTCTTTCGGCTTTCACAATTGAACACCTTGTCACAAGAGGCGGAATAATGTAGACTTTCGCAGTAAGCACAACGAATTTTAAATTCTTCGGGGCCCTTTGCGACCAAGGCGTTTGCATTTGGTGGGATGTTTCGATTGTCGTGTATAGGATTAATAGGAGGCTTGCGATTCTCAACACCGCTCGATTTCGCTCCTTCGCTTGCTTCCCGGGCATCAATTTCAGACTTTATGGTGTCGAGAAGCTCATCAATTTCCCAAACTTCATTTGTAGACTTGCGTGAAATTTGTAGTCGAACATCGCTGGAAAGTTTGGACATAATGATCGGAATGAGAAGACTTCCATACTCCTTTGATGAAACACCCATCGCAGCTAAACCTCTAACGTGCACGCTGATTTTGTCGTAAACATATTGTAACGGACCAAGTCGTCCTCCTTCGACACATGGCTGAATCTTCAAAATCTCACCCATGTACACTGATATGATAATCTGAGGTTTGCCATAACGCTCCTGTATCATTTCAACGGCAACATCGTAATTTGAACTTGTGAGTGTAAGACCATGCACGGTCCGGTATCCGGTCACTTCGCAAACGTGTCACTTCGCAAACTGTCAGTTCGCAAACGTGTCACTTCGCAAACTGTCAGTTCGCAAACGTGTCACTTCGCAAACTGTCAGTTCGCAAACGTCCTCGGTCGATTCGCAAACGTAATATGAATCAACGAAAATCAACAGAAGAGAATCACGTTACTTTTAATCATTATAAATGATGAATTGATTGCGTGACTCGACTGATCGACGATCTACTAAACTATACTCTAGTATTTACAAATATTTACAAATGTGATGGTTTCTGTGTGATTGACGACAACCGTGTAAGCTGGAACGCACGAAGTGAAGACAGGGTATTGAATACATATCCAAGATAGATGTAAAAGAGGAACAAGACACAAATTTACATCTATCTATGCTTCGATCGAAACCGCGTTAGAGTTGTTGAAGAATTAGACGTATTAACTGCGAAACGCTAATAATAATGTACAACTACTTAGTTTTGCACAGCAACAAGAAATGTATTTGATTTGAAGGCAATAACAGTCCCAAACTTTTTTCGATAAAAGATTGTAAAGAAACATAATATGAAGTTATATCAACCTTTTTAAAAATAATTCGAAGACGTTTGCGAATCGACTTGGATGCGTTTGCGAAGTGACAAAGGACGTTTGCGAAGTGACAGTTTGCGAAGTGACACGTTTGCGAAGTGACCGGTATTCCACGGTCCTTGCGGCGTCCCTTCGAGCAGAGAATTCAGATAATTGAACTTGTCGATTGTCGAAATGTCGCTGTTTTCTTGCATAGCGGGTTTGAAGGAATTCCAGAACGACTGCCATTTCGTAACGCCGCCTCTGAATTTCGGCAGTGATAACTTTGGAAGTCGTGGTCTTACAGAATTGCTTGTAATTGTATTGTGTTGATCGGGTTGAACGTAGACCGCGGATGGCGGCGCGAATACCGGCGGTACTTGAGTGTCGACGCTTTTCCTCGATTCTTCGATTTGCCTTTGACAGTCGATATTCCGTGCTACTATCTCTTCCGATTCTTAGATCTCTTTAGTGATGTCCTCCAGTAGACATAATGAATTTATTTCGTCGTCGAGTTCTTTCAGCGTTTTCAACTTGTTTTCTAGCAAGCTACGGATCACATCGAGACGATTTCGCTTTGAAGCGTTGTCTTCTTGTGGCAGTGATTGATGAGTTTCCTTTTCGAGTTTGGAGACAACTCCTCTATGAGCTGCTCTGGTAGCCTTCAGCCTTTCGAGTTTCGACATCGATTTCGCTTACGAGTTGTGCCCCACGTTGGGCGCCATTATATCGTGAATAAAATATCGCAAATATTGTTTTGAATTCGGATTTATTCTTACTGTAAAATGCTTATCGCAAATGAATCATTTATATACAAAAATCACGTGATAAATGTCAGTCAAATGGTTAAATGTGCACTGTCCCGGATGTGCGATCCAACAGAAACGAATTTATAACAAAACAATAGAAAAATTTCACGACAAATATCCCCAAATGTCCACTTTACAAAGCACCAATCGGGACAGGTGCTGCAATTCACGTCAACATAGCACTCGACGACATCATCGGAAACTTTGATGTTAATTGTAAAAGTAGCGGTTGTCTATGGACAGGACAGTTCCGCGAGCACGAACAATACTTCAAAATATGTGAGAAAATTTTTAATGCAGTGTGCAAATGAAGGGTACAGAGAGGTAGTGGCAAGGGAGGGGATGGTAGCGCACATTTCCCAAAGTGCAAAGCGGAAGGAAGGTGCCAAGGGAATGTTTCGAAGAGCATGCTGCTTCCCTCTGTTAGTGAGAGAATTACCTGTCCATTAAGCTGCGGAACAGGCCTTTCACGATAAGGTATTGTCAGGTAAATAAATCAGCAGTCAAATGGTTATTTACGCCCAACAAGAATATTGAAAGGTAGGGTTGCCAGCTCATTTCTATTCCCCATTTTACTTCTACAGGCTCCACTTGACGCTGCATCTGAGCGAGTGCCTAGAAAGAGCTGTCAAGTGCGTAATCATTGTAAAGCAAAAGGATGTGCTTCAGCACGTGTTAATTTCAGCCTCTACCCACACTGTTCTCCAGGAAAGACAGGTCCAGCTTCTGTGGGGCGTGATGCATTTCCAGATGAGATACTTGAATAATAATTTTAAAAAAAGACAAAAAAGAAATGATATGAACGTGTACCGATTATTCGTTTTCATTTCAGAGAGCCAAGCCAAGCTGGATTCTAGAAGAGAAAAGTGTGTTACGTTCTAGTTCGCTTCGCTCAAACGAACGTAAATTATTTACCGCTGAAATAACCGCAAAAACTAGGCGAAATCAGATGTGGGTGGATCGCGTGCGGACCCTGACACTTTAATGAAATGTAATCTTACAGCAGTGGTCAAGGAAAAACAGATAACTATATATCTAAATATTTCGTCACACTTAAACGATTACACTCTGTCTCTAAAACGTAAATGTCTTTCGCTTCGTTTGTTTTCCAGCGCCCATGAAGTTTAAACAACCTCTCAGAAACGGCTATGGAAGCGTTATTGCTGATAACAGCTGTAGCACCCCCAGAACGCAGACTATATAAGCCATATTCCTTGGGGTCATAGCCCAAATCTTTCAAAGTAGTCTTAAATATATCTCTGCAGCGGGTATAGGATAACTTGCCATTCCTAAGACTATAACTTGACTTGTTCCTCATTAGTAGCCTGAATAAAGGCAAGTGACTAGACAGATCCAAAGTGGCTGCCTCAATATACCTACGTAGGATAGCTACTGGACAGTACTTGTTCTCTAGCTTAACGATATAAACATAGTTTCCCTCTTTATATACATCCGTTTTACTCCTTGGCACAAGAATTTCAACAAAACCATCGCAAAACGTGAGGTGTTTTGGCAGAATATTAGGCAAATCGTTAAAACGAAAAAATCCTGCAAAGCCTAAAGAACTTATTGCGGTAATACGTAAGTCCTTTAAAGATGCTTCCTCAGCGTCATGCCTGTCAATAATGCTTCTAATGATGGCGGGCTTTTTCTTGTCAACTGGATTGCTCCTTGTCCTCTTGGCGCACTCAATCAAGTTCTTGCAACAAGCGTTATCCAAAGGATTGGGACCATCATCAGGAACAAAGGAATGGAACCATTTCAGCGCAGCATGAACCAAAACCATTGCGGCCGGGGACCTAAGCTGTTGATCTAAGCCAAATAGAAAAAAAGACGACAACCGAAGAAGAAAAAGGCAATTGTAGCGCAAATTTCCTAGTTCTACACCGCAGCACAAACTTGTTTATTTCCTTAAGATATTTCTTCACAGTAGAATCCGCCTTGGAACTTAGTAAGCAATCAAATAAAGAATTGAAATCCGGCCTAATATCCAGGGGGAGCGCCATCCATGCTTAACTTGCAATTACGACCGGCAAGAACAAAATTATATCACCAAAATTTTACAACAACATATTAACGGCTTTAGCAATCGTGACGCAAGCGATGACAACGGTTCTAATAAGCGACCCTATGGCTATGACGCAATGTCTGCAGGCTGCATTATAGTTAGAAACTACACCGACCTCCCGGGGCAAAATAGGCGCGCAAACAAAGGTCAAGCGAATAACCTACAAAGAAAACTAAAAAACAAACGCGTAATAACTGCATATATATCCGAAACGCGACTTGCCCTTGTAGATCATTTAAACCCCCAAAAGGCTCCACAAACTACATGCAAACAGATGTAAAATAGGACACAGCCAGCTCGGACACTTAAATAACCTACCAATTAGCAAAAACAAAGTTACAGCCTTGATTAAGAAAGATAAAAAACCTAAACCAACAGGAACAACGCAGTTCAACTTTGTGAAAAACCTGGACCAGAATGGCCCGCGAACCAGTGTCAAAAAAAGACACAATTTTCCACACGTGAACAGGTCTTCCATTGTCGAGAGAACTCGAAACCTTCTCGCTCTAATCTTCTCCAACGGACGCAGTCGTCCCTTCACATGACCAGTGTCATTTACCCTGGACACAGCTGTCCATGCAATTAATAACCAGTGTCAAATCCTGCAAATAACAGCACTAAATGCGAGTTCAGAAACCTACTCGAAGGGCAAAAAAGCTGGATAAGTCAGGAAAATTGGAATCTAAGCGCAACAACCTCGCCTGTAAAGCAAGGAGAAGCAAGGAATGAACTTGAATTTCTTCCCAGGGTGAGAGCTTGGAATGCATTCAGCGTAAAGCATCCTTTAATGAACGACCGATATTTTCTTGTTAGAAGAGGCCAGGAACTGGACGAAGGCCATAATGGGACTACAAGAGTAGCCATCGCTTTCTGTAGGCTCAGATAATGGATAGCGCGAGCAACAAGAGGAACTGGAGGAACCACTGAATAATTCTCGGAACTTAACTCCTGGGCAAAGAAGTCAATTCCCGGAGCGTCCGTATTCCTGAAAAGCGAAAAGAATCTAGGAAGCTTTGCTGTATAGTAATTAGCAAAACAGTCAACGGTATGCGGGCCCCTTAGCTCTTCCAAACTTAGAAAGAAATCCTACGTGATTTGCCAATCATCAAAGGCTATAAGGCGACTGATGTAATCCGCCCTCTCATTTTCAGTTCGTGGGATCCACTGCACCTCCAAACGAATATTGTGCTCCGCGCAAAACTGAAAAATTTAATAGCAAGCCTGTGCAAATCTAATTTCATGCTTCCGACTTCTATGGTTCTAGCCGCCGTCTGGCTATTAGTGAACCACTTGACAAGTGAACCTTCCAAAATTGCCGCAAAAGACTCTTGAGAATGGGTGCAGGCTCTCTCCAAGTAGAACTCTTAGAACGCTCTGTAGGCTCCCAAGGCTTGTGACACACACAATCCTCATAAAGGGTAATAACTGGCAACGGAGTAAGGGAAACGCTGTGGCTTATTAAAGAGAAAACGATCGAGCACTTTGATAGATTTTAGATTGTTTTTCCAAAAATATAACTACTCGATGCAATAGGGATCCATCTTAACTCTCGAGTCCCAGTGCTGCGTGCTTAATGTAGACATAACGCAGTGCTTAGTCTGCCCTGTAAAAGAGGCTAATCTTCTGGCAGAAAGAACAAGATCGAAGTCGATAATACTGTCAATTGTACTAGTTATTTTGGCAACCCTCCTATCGAAAATTTCAATGGTTCCACAAGCGCTATCCCAAGTGATACCCAACCAATCAAGCCTCTGGCAAGGTATCTACACTGACTTATCCTCTTTAGTAACGAAACCCGCCTTAGAAAGGTCAGTTCTAACGGCATCCGCGACAATACTGCACACTTGAGAATCCTTTTCAATGCCCCATCCGTCGTCAAGAAAAGCAGCAACGCAAATGCCCTGATGCCTTCAATGTTTCTCAAGAGGCTTAAGAATTTTTGTGAACACGTAAGGGGCGGACGATAATCCGAAAGGTAAAACTGTAAACACATAAAACTTCACTTGATTGGAATTGGAATGCTTCCAGGAAAAACCAAGATATGTTTGATGGCCCTCAAAAATTCAACGTGGAGGTGCCCACTTTTCAGGTCGATGGAAAAGATGTATGCACCTCGCACGAGGTAAGACAGATTAGTCTTCGAATTTAACGTGCATCTTACGAAGAAACTTGTTGACGTATCTTAAATCAAGAACGAGCCTCTTCTTTCCGTTAGCTTGCACAGATACGGACAAGGGGTTGACCACTCAGGGCGGTACCTTGGTTTCCACAACACGACCCGACTCAACTAAGTCTTGAATAGCCTCCTCAACAAATTCAACATGTGAAAGAGACGATCTGTTGTTTTTTAAAACCGCTGGTTCGGGAAAACTAACCAAAAGTAACAAATTTCCCCTTTCTATAACGTTAAGAATAAAACTAGGGGTTCCAATACACTTAAAAAATTCGACGTTTCTACGAAGATTTCCCTTGACGTTGACACACGGCGTACTATTAATTAACTCAAACTCAAACAATTTGCCATTGCAATGTACCTGAGCGATATCAGCAATCTCCCCATTAAAAACATTACTGCTTTGCACCGGGTTGAGAGTGGGCTCCGTGACTAGGTCCTTAGGGGCTATATGAGTATCCTGGGGTGAATGTGGTTCCGCGATAAGCGCTTCGTGGGCTATGCCAGGAGGCAGTGCATTCTCCTGCCTAGTGGCCGAGTTTGTGGCATTTAAAGCACCTTAAACAGAAAAACAGATGAAATAAAAGCAGTATAAAAAACAGATAAAATGAAAAACCACTCGCGAAAACCTGAGAAAGGGAAGGGTGGGTGGGGCTAGATCTTAAACATCCGAAACAGAAACAGCTCTAAAGTGCTAAGGTCGCAAGCGAGAGAGAGGGAGAACAAACTGAAAACAGCATCTTAAACAGGTAAAACGAACCAATCGGAAGCTACAATAAGCGCACTGCGATACCTAAAGGCGACAAACTGTAAGAAAGAATGCGAAGCTAAAATAACAGAGTAAAATATATTTCTCTTTCCGCTGGAGGGGAGACAGGTTAAGCGATATCAGGGGGCCACACCTGTTTAGCACCGAGTACAGGTGCCTGAATTGAAACAAGTAGAGGGTGCATCTAAGATATGCGGAACTGTCCTTGGGGCTAGTGTCCGAAGTGACGTCAGTGGCAGTGGGGATGAGGTTTCGGAATCACCTAATAATTCAGGATAGATTCTAGCTCTTGAGTCTGAAGATAAATGATCGTTGGTAATAACAGGCCAAAGTCCTTGCATTTAGCTTAATGTATTTTAAGACAACTATCAAGTGCGTATTTTCAAAGACAACTGACAGTTTAAACTGAAACTTTGAACCTGAAATCACATAAATAGAATTTGAACTTTACCATGATTCACCACAGGTCATTAATTAATTTGGGCCTTATGTCTATAGAATAGTATTGATGCCTGATTCCTGCGGAGAGGTGTTTCCTTTCGTGGCGAAGGAAATCAGTGAGGGGGAAGTCGCAGCAAATTTTCCACTCTCCGAACTGGATGAAATGGACCTAGAAGACTTTATGGTTGTCAAGTTTGTCTTGACGTCCTTTTGAAAGAGGATATGTAATGTTCTTTGTATTAACCAAGAGAGATAACTAGGTCGAGGATAAAAATGGAAATAATCGAAACCAGTCACGCAAATGAAAAGGATCGTCAGCGGTGTGAGGCAGAGAACAAATTAAAGTTAATTCTAAGAAATGTTGTCAAGCGAAAAACGTTTCCAGTACTTTGTCAATGATTTCCTCCACTTTTCATTTGTATTTCATACCATTCTTAGTTCTTACCTTTGACAGTAAATAGGGTTTTTCTTTTAAGAAATTAAAGATGTTAAGGTTTTTAAGTCTACTAGAATTTTGTTCCAAGATTAGTTGCTGTGTAAGCAATTGTTTGTTTTCTAGAGTGAGTGCGCGCTTAAAGTTAATATAAATTGTGTTTGTTTGCTCTAATGTTTTTTACCCTCCCTTAAATGAAGGAAAATTTAAATCGGAATTTCTGATCCCCACTACAGATATTAGGCTCTAATTACATCGTGCGAAACGAGGCGAGTAAGGCGTTTTGCATTTACCAAAATGTTCTTAACATGTAAGAACATTTTGGTCAATGTACCAATTTTGGTAAAATGTAAGTTCGAGTAGTCCATTTACTTCAGTGTGTTTCACGTGATATTGAATGATTAGATAAATTAATTTTTTTCTCGTCATCTGAATTTCCTTGTCGCATTGTCTCAGTCTCATGTTTGATAACATAATCAAAGGCATCCCATCCCGAGTTAAAGCCGACACGTAGCCTCTCACCAACCCCGTCTAACACGAGTTTGAATTTGTCATAACCTTACGGCTCGGTGGAGAGCATGAATGAAATGAGTAACTTTGTGACTTGGTTAGGTGTATTTTGATGTAATTGTTGCAATTCAATAAACAAAGACTTTATCTAGTGCATCTTTTTGTTTTATTTTGTTTTTTCTTTTTGCGAGTTCAACCTCGACACCAATATGCCGAACACTCTGGTTTGTATTGCAACGACAAGTTAACGAATCGTCGTTGAAACTTCAATTATTTTCCTATCATTCCATAAAACATCAAACCTTAACTGAAAACGGGACTAATTCTGTAATGAGCTCGGCTTATTGAATTGATTTTTACGCGTGAGCGAGTCGGTCCTTGGGCGCCTTGATCGGATACCCTTCAGTTGAGGATACTCTCCTAGACCTCGTTTCAGTGGCCATAAGTCAATTCCAAATGCTGGCTGCCTGGATTTATTTCACATAAACGAATCACGAATAAAAAAAAACACATTTATACTGTCCTACAGGTAAATAATTTTTCTTCTTCCTTAGGTTGACTCACTTTACTCGAGGACCGCTTTATTTAGCGTTTAAACTGAAGGCGTTTTCCTAAGATGGCTGGCCTCAAAATGTAGGTGGAGCTATGAGGTTTTTTTTAACGCAAAAAAAAGCCTGAGATAGTAAAGAAATCATTTATACAATCTTTCTCTATGAAAAGAACCCAGCATAGGCCAAAAATTCGTATTTCCAGTCCACTGGTAATGACTTCTTTTTACTGTGCGCACACAATTATTTCAACTTCTCCTTTGGCAGTGGGCGCAGTTAATCATAAAAAAAAACCCTAAGTTTTTTCGGCTGTTCTTTTTAGAACGCAGTTACCATCTTAATTCACGGGGCTGAGACAAATGTGTTTCGTATTCTACTGAACAACAATTACGTAAGGAAAAAGGCGCTCTTCTTAAACAATCTATCGCGGGTGTGCATTGGCACGGACGCCCTTTAATCATTTTCTTTCTCATCTTATATAGTAACAACTTGTATAAATGGGGTAATATTCCAGAGTATACAAAGGACATTTCTACGTTGAGGCTGTCATTTTTAGCTCCAAATGTTTGAAGCACAACTTTTATTTTAACTTTACTGCGACGTCATTAAATTTCTACTAAGGATAGCGCAACGCAGTTACGTCTGCAATCGAAATTGCAATATCATAGAATCACCGAATAACAACAGGTAAAGTAATGCAAGAGGAACAAAAAGAAAACCACTAATCGAAAAAAAACGTTCACAAAACGCACTATAAAATCACTATAACAATGAAAAACGCGCTTAAGCTATCGTTTTAAAGCAGGATTTTCCCACTCGATATGGAAGACCTCCTTAATCTTATTTTATGAACAAAGTTAAAACCGGCTATTTTAGTATGTCCAAAAAGGGATAAAGGGTCTTTCCTTTCAACACTCTACAGGCACTGAACCAGAAAAAGAATAAGTGTGAGATCAAAAAGTTTTTTCGGGGAGTTACCCAGAATGCTAC